TAGGGTTGCCACCTTTTCTTCAAGTGAAACCCGAACACTCTAGCGCCACTAAAAAATTTTTGGGGAGAATAGAGAGAGAGTGAGGAGAGGCAGCTAGGGGAGGGAGTAATGAGACCATCTATAGAGAACTGCAAATCCCAGCAATACATTATCCAGCAATACAAAATAATGTGAAGCTACATACTCTGTGCTGTTCTGAGTTGGCGCCCTGATGTCTTCAGGTGGCCTGGTGATTTGTGCCGGCTGTGCAACTCTCGGGTGGGCTGTGCGACACTCGGGTTTCAGGGAGCCGGTGTTGTGTTGAATTACGTTCCCCTGCCGATTGGCTATTTCTGTAACCCACCTCTTCATGCCTCTTCCCTTCAGCTGCATGGGGATCTACACAGCCCGGCCGCTCTTCTATCTCTGGTGATCTATCACTTAGAAGAAAGTCTCCTCCTTCTTCTCTATGTGATAGAGCACCAGAGTTAGAAGAGCGGAGGAGCGATCACAGATGCGGCTGCTGAAGTCCTAGTCAAGCGTGATCTCAGGCAGCCACATCGGCCTGAAACCCGAATCTTTCTCTGAGCTGCGGGCACCTGTAAACAGACACAGACTACCCGCAGCTCAGAGCAGTGACGACTCTAGGAACAATATATAGGGGGGGCACATACCACAGTCAATACTGGGGGGCACTAATAATTTTCACTAGCCTCCCTCTACATGTCCGGTACTTAGGCACTCCCACCTGCTTTAGACCACCACTGACTGTCCGTACGTCCGTGCTGTGGGAGGAGAATGGGAGCAGCCGGACAGGGCCAAAGCCGGTGTTCTATAGTTTTTCTCGACCCCATAAAATGTCTTCACTGTGTCACTTCTGGTGCGGTTATGGCATCCCAATCAGCTGCTTTCCTGATGCCTTTTCTTTATGCGCACCTGAAAGTGACATGGTTAAGAAATGTTATGGGTCACGGAAAGGTACAGCACACTGGTGGCAGAGCGATCCCTCATTACTGCGATCCTGGTAGTTCTGGTACTGACTCCAAGCTATAAAGGACTACAAACCCCAGCAATATATTATACAGCAATGCAGAATACCACCAGCTAAAGCGGACTACAAATCCCAGCAAAACATAGAGCAATGCATGCTGTATTTTTCTTGAATTCATTTCACTGGTCATCCGAAAGCTGGTTGGATGACCAGTGAAACGTCTTCCAGAAAAATACAGCCAGTAACTCTGCTCCGGGGTTCTGGCCTGATGTCTTCGGCAGAGGGTGTCAGGAGGGTCTTAGTAAGGGGAGGTGTGCGGGTGGCAGAAGTGATGTAAGCAGGCATCGCCTGGCTCCCCAGATGGCTGCTGCGAGGTACCCGGCGACGCCGGACCTAAGATACCCGGGTCAATTTGAAAGATGTAAGTGCCGGCATTAGTTTTAAGTATCGGGACAAAGGTCAGATATAACACAGCGAGCCCGTAAGTGAATCGGGCAGGGAGAAATGTTTTTTTTT